TTTTTTTTTTTTTTTTTTGAGCCAGAGTCTCACTCTGATGCGTAGGCTGAGTACAGTAGCACAATCATGGCTTCCACAGCCGCGGACTGCTGGGCTCAGGTGATCCTTCTGGCTTGGCCTCCTAAGTAGCTGGGACTACCACGCACCACCACGCCTGACTAATTTTTTTATTTACTATAGAGACAAGGTCTCACCAAGTTGCCCAGGCTGGTCTCAAACACCTGGGTTCAGGCAATCCTCTTACCTCTACCTCCCAAAGTGCTGGGATTACAGGTGTGAGGCACCACACCCAGCCAGCATGGACGCAGTAATCCAGTATGTCGTTTTTCAGGTTGCAAGTGGTAAACAGTAGAAAGATGGGTTCCTTTCCCTCAAGGGGCTTACAGCTAGGGACAGGCAAGAAGGCACATGCAGAGACAAGTATAGAAAACAAAGGAAGAGCCGGGCTCGGTGGCTCAGCCTGTAATCCTGCGCTTTGGGAGGCTAAGGTGAGTGGATTGCCTGAGCTCGCGGGGTCGAGATCTGCCTGGGCAACTTGGTGAGACCTCATCTCTACAATAAATAAAAAAAAATCAGCTGGGCATGGTAGTGCATGCCTGTAGTTCCAGCTACTTGGAAGGCTGAGGCGGAAGGATCGCCGGAGCCCAGCAGGTCGAGGCTGCGGTGGCCGGGAGCGGCCACTGCACTCCAGTCTGGGCGACTGAGTGAGACTCCAACTCAAAAAAAAAAAAAGAAAAAAAGAAAACAAAGGAAGAAATTAAGTGCCAAAGAAAAATCCCTCAGAGTGATCACGAGAGGAGAGCTTTTGCATCAGATTTCTTCTCTCAAGCTATAATTTTTTAGAGACAAGGGACAACATTAAAACCATTTCAATATGACTTCCTAAAAGTATAGTGTACAAAATGCTGAATATATTTTTATTGTAAAAGCTGATTAGATATCAGTGCCGAAACTGAGAAACTAGAATAATGCCTTCTAACCACATCACTTGGATTTCAGTCTTTAGGAAACTGGGAAAAGCAGGATGGAAACACTGAATTCCTTAGAAAACTAGCCTAGCAAACACTTCTACACTGTTGGTAGGAGTGTAAACTAGTACAGCCTCTGTGAAAAGCAGTGTGGCAATTCCTAAAAGATCTAAAGACCCATCTCCCATAAGATCCCACAATCCCCCTATACTGGGAATATACCCGAAGAAACTCAAATCACTCTGTGAAAAAGAAAGCTGCACACGTATGTTTATCGCAACATTGTTCACGATAACAAGAACATGGACCCAACCATGCTGCCCATCAAAAGAGGACTGGATTTTTAAAATGTGGTACATATACACAATGGAATACTACACAGCCATAAAGAAGGACAAAATCATGAACTTCACAGGAACCTAGATGGATTTAAGAGTCTATAACACTGAGCGATCTGTCACAGAAACAAAGAACTGAGGATTACATGTTCTCACTCATAAGCGGACCTTGAACAATTATAATAATACTATAAGAAAAAGATTGGCAGTAGCAGGAAATGGGGGGGGAAGAGGATGCAGGATCGGCAGTAGTAGGAATCTGCCAGGGGTGGGGGGGCACACCTCATCAACAAGGGTACCTGCATAATGAACATTTGTATACCTAACCCTGAATTGTACCCCACATCTTTAAAATAAAAGAAAAGCCAGGCTCGGTGGCTCAGCCTGTAATTCTGCGCCTTTGGGAGGCTGAGGTGAGTGGATTGCCTGAGCCCGCGGGTTCGAGACCCACCTGGGCAGCGAGACCTCATCTCTACAATAAATCAAAAAATCAGCCGGGCGTGGTAGTGCACGTCTGTAATTCCGGCTCCTTGGAAGGCTGAGGCGGAAGGATCGCCAGAGCCCAGCAGGTGGAGGTTGCGGTGGCTGGGAGCAGCCACTGCACTCCAGTCTAGGCGACCGAGTGAGACTCCAACTCAAAAAAAATTAAATTAAATTAAATTAAAATTAAAAGTAAAAAAGAAAAAGAAAACTAGCCTGGCGCAGTGGCTCATGCCTATAATCCCAGCACTTTGGCAGGTGGAAGTGAGAGGACTGTGTGAGCCAGGGGTTTGAGACCAGCCTGGGCAACTTGGTGAGATCTCATCTCTGCAGTAAATCAATAAAAATTAGCCAGGTGTGGTGGTGCATGCTTGTAGTTCTGGCTACTTGGGAGGATGAGCAGAAGGATTGCCTGAGCCCAGCAGGTCAAGGCTGCAGTAGCCATGATCATGCCACTGCACTTCTGTCTGGGCAACAGAGTGAGACTCCAACTCAAAAAAAAAGAAAAAGAAAAAGAAAACAGCCTGAATATCACACAAAACGAGTGATATTTGGCTAATGGTCAGTATGACAAAACAGGAGTCAGCTAAATAACCTTTAAGTGGTGCTATAAAAATATACTGCCCACCTTCCTGAGTTCAACCCCACTCAAGCAAGCCTCCTGAAGGGTGAGATAAGACTATACACACAGTGTAAACACTGAGCACCGTAACTGTTTCCTGACACTACTAGTTGCCTTAGAATAAATACTACTAAAAACATCAGCCAAGCACAGTGGCACACACTTAAGGCCCCAGCTAAGGCCAGGCTCGGTGTCTTAGGCTGTAATCCCAGCACTTTGGGAGGCCAAGGCAAGTGAATTGCCTGAGCCCAGGGGTTCAGTCCAGGCAACTTGTCAAGACACATCTCTACAATAAATTAAAAAATTAGCC